ACGGCAAAATAATTCTCCATCTCAATCACAACATCTCAAAGGCAGCTAGGTCTCTCTTCCCAGATAACTTCTCAGGTTGATCCAAAATAATCCTCTACCCTGTCTTAACCGGTATAGCAATGGAATCAACAGCAATAGGCACTCTAGTAGGCGGGATGTTAGTCGGATGTCTACTACCTAACCTCTCAACCGAGTCTGACTTCAAGGATCGTTGCTCTGTTTCCATCGCTTCCACCTTCTCTGGCATAAACTTGAATTGTGCATGCAAGGATGTCAACTCCGTGTCTCGAGCGGAGTGACCACCGTCAAACTCATCTGAGGCTTTGCGCTTGAGTGTGTGCTCTTCAACTTCAGAATATGGTACATTAGCCATTGGAATGAGAGCGTGCCTATGAAGACCTCACTAGCCAGAAATCCGGTCTTAGAGTTCTCTAAACCAGACCAGCTTTGATACCAAATGTCACACGCTTACTCCTCTCCAAATATCTATCACAATACATACAATCGCACCGCCTCTGCCACCAACCAAATCTCACTCCAAAGAAAACACCTCCTCATAGCAGATCTCAACTCAGACTGCTTTCCGAAGACTCAAAATACCCTCAATTGCCAATGGACGTGATCCTTACGTTGGGTTGTCACCCCCTTCCACCGCCACCCTGCCTCCCCTCACGTGATCATGGGGCTTGTCCAATCTATGAACTGACCGACTACCGTCCTGCCTGTAATCCCCTCTGATGATGAAAATGATCTCTATATGTGAAGATGATGTCTCCGTATGTGAAAACCATGACAAGTGACCTATGTATCGTGTGCCAAGGGCTTTAAATAAGTGGGAGGGGAAGACCTTCACACCACTTCACCTCTTGCAATATCAATATGAGCTGGGTCGCAAACTTGCGTAGGTGGGCTTGTGACACATATGGTATGTTAAGTTCGTATATGATGTACATCACTTAGTTATAAACGGTAGGTACTGTTCTCTGCTTTTTTCAATTAAGCTAGCTTTGGACCTGTTCGTATGCTAATCCAAAGAGATTGCCACATATACGAGCATCTACGGTGATTCAAGAGGGCTTTCCTGGTGACTTTTGTGGAAACCATAAAGCAGTGCTGCAGGTAATTCTGGTAGCAGATATACACCCAACGCCTGCATTCAGTGAATATACACAATTCGCACCCCACGCCCTTGACCTCCCAGAAGTCTACTTAGTGTTTACCGGACCGCCTGACTGGTTTCCCGGTACACACAGCCCGGCGACCCACAACGTGCGAGGCCTACAAATTTTTCCGCTCGGCTATCACCCGAGTTACTTCAATTAAAAGTCACCCGTTCGTTATAGTGTCCAAAAAAAAATTTTGCGTGCCCATGATCGACATTTGGGATGCCCTCCTGAGCAACGACCTTTTATAAAGAACCTGCAAATGTCGACTTCGGTAACGACACCTGACACTTTTCGCAACCTTCTCCGTAGCGGACCTATTTTCATTGCAGAAACTGCTATTCTCGGTGAGGTTATCCTCTGTGACATCCCTGTCAGCATTCTCTGTTTTAAACTAGAGCAAGACGAAAACCCAGTAATATAGCAAAAAGCATGGGAAGACCCCGTCAAGTCAAGTGGGTAAATGGGGCTAGCCCCAATAACATCACAACGGGAAATTTATACTAGTGTACCAAAGATATCCCAAACATTATATAGAGTTTTAAAGTAGTATATATTGAGTTCTTTACAGTATGGGAATAACGGGTCCCGTACTCTAATAGTTAGGACATTGGACTTTGAATCCAGTGGCCCGAGATTAAATCCCGACGGGGATTGGTATATTCATATCCGTAAGTGTTAAAATTTTGGCGCGATGGAGTTAGGTTTGTCTCGTGGAACGATGTTGCTTCCACGGTTGATTACAGTAGAGGGAGCAAACATGCCATGCTGGTCTCCAAGGCTGGGAAGACACCATAAAGTCGTAAATGGATGAAACCAAAAGGGTAACAAGGGGCTAGGCCCCAATGCTGCTTGGTTTCGGGTTCAACTCGTTTGACCTTTTGCAATTTACGCTGCCTTTTGGAGATTTGGAGACTACTGAGGTCAGTGGAGGTGTAACTCTGTAGGGTGAGGAGAGGTGTTGAGATGGGTAACTTGGGTTGGGTTGGGTTGGGGTGAAATCATTCAGAGCTTGCTGGCTTTTTCATGCGTCTATTTACTCAGCTTCTAGCGTATTGCTGGTGCTTTTGGCGATTATTCACTTTGTACTACTATCAAGGTGTAGCTTTTTGTCTGGTCCGGTTGGTGCAGCTCGTTCTTGATCGGCGCTTTCCTTCTTTCTTTTCCCCGTCCCTTTCACAATTCACGCTGACAACTGTACTTTGTACCTGCAGCTGAGGCAAGGTGGTGCTCTGTCTCGTTGGTCTAGATTATTAGAGCTCACAATTCTCATTTTATGCCTGTCAGCCCCAATGTCTTCTTTCCACGGATCCGCTATGAACGCTCACCGTCTTTTCATCCTTCTTCCTCCTCCCTTCCTTAGAGAGGGAGGTGGGTGGGATGGTGTCCTGATGGGAAGGTGAGCATGCCAGCAGTACTCTTCAAGAAGATCTGCCTGTTCCCTTCTCGATTCTGCATTCCAAAATGTTCTAATCCCCGGCTGGGTTAGGTGTCTTGTGGAGTCAATCTGGCCACATATTACGGTGTTTTGACAAGTGCAGAACTCTGTACCATGTGACATGCACAGGGCTCCCAATCAGTATGGGAAAGTGCGAGCGTGAAGATATGTCCACATGGCGTGCTGTATCTCGTACCGACAGAGCCCCATGGAATTCTGATTGGGTCTGGCGTTCAGGGTCCACGGTAATGATGGCTTTGGGGTCCACACCTTCCACTGAGGGCCTTCTTCCATCGCAAGGTAATTATGACCTTTTCTGAGCATTTTGAGCTCCTCCTTGGGGATGTGATTACAACATCTGGCATACATACAATGTCCGTCCCTTTTTGATATTGGAATCTCCTGTGGGTTTGGGAAAAAAAGAGTTTTCGGGCCTGCCCACAAGACGTGCCCTACATCTCTCCGATAGAGCTCCTTGAATATGTGAAATCTTTTTGGCCTACAGATCATAAGCTCTTTTTCCTAACATTTCCCCAACGTTGAGAGTTTTGCCCCGCTGGTATGTTGCTTTTCTCCTATCGTTCTGTTGCATGCTGGAGAAAGTTCTCATCCAGTGTACACTAACGAAATCTGGGTCCGACGACCTTCCTTACATGGAATGTTCGTAGAGCTGGGTAACAAATCCTCAACTTGTCTCATGTGCCGAATTTTCAGCTCGGATTCCAACGAGTTCGTTACAATACCTGTCCATGACTTCCTCCCTCCATTCAGATTCATCCTGAAAATCACATTGCTTGGGTCTCAAGCACTGGTGATTTTAGCCCCATGCTAGGGGTCCACACAGCAGTGTGATGTCCCAGGAGAAGGGAAGGCACCATTGCCCTCCCCTCTCCGCTTTTGCAAAAGAGAGCCTGATTGAACCTATGTGACCCATGTGAAATTGAAACTGCCATCTCGAGTGCTTGAGAAAGTGCGGTTCTTTTAGTATATACGCATGAAATCCGTGGTATTCTCCGTTTTTTCCCGATATCACTCAACATCTAGAATGAGTGCACAGTTTGTATGTGGACCCACTTACTTGTGGCTCTTACGAAGTGGTGCTTCCATTGCAATCGCGTGTGTGTTTTGAGAGAGTAACTTAAAAACTTCATTCTTGCTTTCCAGTGTCTCATACTGATAAGGTCATCTCTGGCCAGCCTTTTCAAGCTACAGTAGTACACTCCGGAGTTCTGAATGCATGGGCTATGTGATGAAGGAGTCAAGGATCCCCTTCTGGGGTGTTGGGTGGAAGGTAGTGAGGGTGTGAAGTCGTTAAAAGAGCCGAGCTCTGAAACTTAGTTCCAAAAGGTTTTTGTTTCGCATCAGAATGTTGGCGAACAGAAACATTCAGAGGCTACTCGTCTACATCGTTGATCTGGAATTGCTAACAATCTAGACACGAATGTTGGCAGGTCAAGTTTAGTTGCATTATGAGAGTGGAGTAACTTGCAGTTGAGGAATCATGTCAACACATGACCTTTCGTTATACTTGGAATAGAATTTTGTCACCAACTTTAGACAAGAGGAAGGAACCTAAGCAACGAAATGGAAACTGGAAATAGCCCTACTCATAGTGTTTGATGTCTTGCAGTTTATTCTCGTGCAAACATGTTTCTAGCCTTCCTTTCTGCATTTTGCTGACATCTACTGAAGTTAGCTAGTCCAGGTTATTACCTCCTGATAAATGTGAGGCATCTGCTAAATCGTCCATGTAATCTCCGTACAGGTCCTCCGCCTCATGTCATGTTCTTTCCTGTTGTAAGATAGTAAGACTGCTCGATGAACGTGATTGGTAAGCTTAATCTGTCTTCATCTACCATGAATCCTCCGTTGAGGGTTCAACCTAGAACCGCAACTTTGAAATTTAATCTCAGTAGAACCACAGTTAGAAATCTGCATGCACGTTGATTCTTCATGGAGGCACTTCATTCCAGCAACAGCTCATGCGCTTTCTAACTTGCACGACCAGTAGTACTATCGTCTGCATTACACTACGATCTAGTGAACCACATACATTGACATCCTGCTCTGGAGCACTAGTTTCCGAGGCCACGTTTTGAATGTCTACTTTTCGACACTCCCGACAAGCTAGACTCAAGTGTAATGTTGACCATATTCAAAGGTCTCGTAATTATCCTCTGCGAGTTCAGCACAGCAGTGTGACGTGATATGTCAACCACGGACTATTAGTTACAACATCTTCGCAATGTTGATGTTGTCAAAGAATCCTCCTGGCCGATCGGGATCGGGAAATCGAGGACCAACACGGAAATCGACGACCAACAGTCTCATCCAGAACATCCACAGGCCGACTTTGTCGAGAAACTGTCCGAAAATGCGAGCGACACTAAACAGGAATGCGGGGGGTACAACGTAGGAGGCAACCAGGATTGAACTGATGACCTATCGGACTGCAGCCGATTGCTCTACCACTGAGCTATACCTCCATGCTTGAAATGCGGCTTCATATATCAATTACAGTTCTTAGTACAAGTTATCCAGATTGCTCTACCACTGAGCTATTCCTACTTTCTAACATCCAGTTTTAAAACTGCCAGAATCTGGATATAACATGTTTTAGAGAGGTTTTGATATTGATTTTTGTAAAATTTGTGAAATGTTACAAATATCAATATCAAAACATCTCTAAAACATGACTTGTTGAGTATTCTGATGTAATAGATTTGAAATTTTTTATTACAATATTTAAGTGTTGAAATTTCCACATATTGATCTTCAGCCATATCTGTAGAGTATACACCGTTTGCAACCTCCACATATGGACTTTTTCGTGAACAATTCATTGGGAAAAATTGGTTTTGGACTTTCTAATTTTAACACATGTTAGAGTGGAGAAGAGTGACATGTCTTTCTAGGCTCCATCTTCACTGCAGTTGATGCATGTAATAAATCATAGCAAGTTGATAACACATCGTTGGCGGCAATTGGGCTATTGTTTTTGCCCGGGATCAATTTTACAATTTCTTTTTAAAAGGCAAGATCATTCTTCTTCCATTCCCAAACACTGAGCTTTTGCTAAGTGCTTTGAAGTATGAGTGCTATAAATACGCCCGTGGGAAGCTCATCAAATCTACATTCTCAATTGGCGTTGTGACGGAATGCACAAGTAATTTGCAAATTATTTATAGATTCATCTTGTACTAAATTTACAATGACAACTCATGAACTTAGAATGCTTTCGTTATATATTAGGCCAGAAGAAATTTAGTCGTAACTATTTAGGTGTACATGCATTTCAGATCATTATTTTCAACTTTTAAAAATATGAAGCTTGAGTGCATTGGTATAAATGTATTTTTTATTTTCAGTTTTTGATAATTACTTTGAAATTATTAGTTTTCTATATTGTTACGATTCAATTTCACACATGTAGTTGATTTTTAACTCATGGAAATTTCTTTACAATCAAAATATAGAAATAGATAGATTCTATATGAATTATATATTATTAAAATATGAAAAAAATTTATTAATCTTTGTAATTAAAGATAATAACACAAAATATAATAATAATTTTAACATAAATAAAATATAATTTAATTAGGTAAAATTAAATTATTGATAATATAGAATATTATATAAAATAACTTTAATATTTATTTAAAGATTGGATCATGAAAATATGTATTTCATGCAAGACATAAATTGAATTCCATATATCTCATAATTTAAATCTCATGAAACACAGTTAATAAATATATGAAAATTTAATCTATACAAAGAAAAGGGATAATGTTGAATTATACATGTATTTTTGTACATATTTAATATTTGGTTTTTATTTTTCTGTCTTTTTTAACTACTATTTTGAATGATAATTTTTATTTAAAGCTTTTATATTAGAAAATACAGCCAATGTAATATTGAAACACTAGTTTCAGATTTTCAATTTTTTATCATCATTAATGTTAAAATGACAATAAATAAAATATTTTACTTTTACTTTTAAAATAAATCTAGGAATTGATGTATGAAAAGTCATTCAAACATGATATAAATTCAATAAAAATTAGATATATTAAATTTTAGTTATTTAAAATTTTTATTTATGAAATTTGATTTATTTTTATTAAAATAAAAATAAAAATTTAATTTAATTTGAATATGTAAATTTTTTTCCAAAATCATCAAAATTTATTATTACTTATTAAAGATAAAAAAGCAAAAAATAAATTCTATACAATTTATCATATAAAAGAAATGAACTTTTTTTCAGGTATTATCAATAATCAAATCTGTAATCATTTGAAATATTTGAAATATTCAAGAAAAATGACTTAAAAAAGAGCAATTTTAATCAGTGTGACATACCTAAATTTTAGATAATATTATAAACGTGTTTATACCTTCACACAATTACTTTCAGATCCTCTTGAAGGACGGTGACACATTAGACGATCTGTATCTCATTACTTACTCATAGTGTTGGGATACGCTATATCTAAATTTTAAATAGGATCATATCCTGGTTTCATGCCATAATCTGACTGAATGTTAGATACTCTATTTACATACTAGACTAGTTTGTAAAATACATACAACTTATGGTTTTTTCATCAATTTATTTCCAACTCTTTCATAAAATTCACAAGGCATTGTTGAGACAATTTTTTATTATCTACAATGATTGTGGATTATCACTCCAAATGTGTTTTTTTTATTATTGGATCATATAAAGACTTGATCATTACATCTCTTGTATCACAAGGTAACTTATATCAGTCCCTATACATAGCTCTTTCGTAGACAAAAAAACATGTGGCGCTTATGTGATTTATCACAAAAAAACCTTCATATAGTCATCCAAGTTTGGACATGAACACTTCTGCGACATATATGATTCAATTTTTTTTAAGCATGTTATTGTCAAAATTATAGATGAGCATTCAAACATCTTTCAACTTTACCCAATTGCAACTACATTTCTTATATTTTGTCACAACTAGTCTTCTAATTCTGCCTTATTTGACCTTTCTAACAAGTCTAGAAGGTTCATCATTCATCAAATTATTGCAACTTACAATGCAACCATTAAATTTGTTCCCACACCTCACTATTAATTAGTTGGATCATTGGTAACAAAATCATCCTTGGTAATAACAAATAGATGTCTTGCCCAAAATAACCATCTTACTACCAACACATATGATCAAGTAATCACCACTTTCGGTCTTAGATAAGACATCAACAAACACTTTACAATAGCTGCAGATGACGTTTAGCTCACCCCTTACTATAGTAGACAATTGAATAAATTGCTACCTTTGGTCCAACTTTTTATTAGGTTTCCCTACTTCTGGTATGCATAGTTTGCCATCTGGAAGAAGAGACCGAAGACCACGTATAAAGAAATTGTCTTGCACCCTACTAAACATGACAAGAAGAGTTTAAGAGTAATGCAACTACATGCAGTCCCTAAAATCCCCATTCAAATAATGGGATTCTTTGACTCTCTTGTTGCGTACTACATTCACCCTCCTCTGCCATCGTGTTTTCATGTCTCTCATATTCTACTCTTACTTTGGTCATCATAAAAGATTGTACATGTAATTACTATGTGTTGTCCTCCCTCTCTTTCTCCAGTTCACTTCATGATTTCATTTTTGGTTTCTGTCACCCAAGCCAAACTGACTAAGGGGTGAAGTCTCAGCCCAATCTGAGTTTGGACACAAGACCACAATTCTTGAGAACATGGTGTGGAACTAAGTGACTTGAAGGGAGCTTCAAATGCTCTTCTGATTTCATATGGGACACACAAAACTCGGGGCCAGTACAAATATCAAACGAAAAAAGGACCTTCACTCTAAACGTGGATTCATACCCAATTATGCTCGATGTACGGCCAAGGAATTCGTCTCATGTTGAAGGATTATGTTTCTCATAATAACAATATATTTACTTAAGGACGTCCACTTTGAACCATGCTGTTCATGTGAGGGAACTAGGGCATGTTCGAGTAAGGACCATGGGGCAACTTGCCAATGGAGACTGGATTCTCCTCACTCACTGCAATGGAAGAGTGAATGATCTATGATTCTAAGGAGGGTACTTATTGAATGCTTGGAGAAATCCCGGGCTCTGTCCCGAATAATGTTTGTCTGTTTCTATGGAAATGGAGAGAAGTGGAACAAATCCAATCTTCTTCCACGACCATGTCTTTATTCCTCTCCAATCGCTCTTAATTCACATGACGAACGACACTCGTCCCGGCTGATCTTGTCGAGGTGCGAATAACACCTCGCAACAATCGGCATGATCTTCTGGCGAACTTTCAGAGGCTGATAGCTCACTGCCATCAAGAAGGTATGACTTTCACTTAAATGGTTTCGTCTCTAACATTTTAATGAGACTCTTCTCTTCGTCTCGTCTTTTCTCTATCCTTCAGGCGGACTCTCGCTTAGTCCCTCACAATATCATCCATGTCATATGGATCAAGACATTGCTAACTAGAGATTGCATATCCGACCGACATATATAACGACACCACGGACGACGGTATATGTACCGTTGCTTTTTCTAATAAACGTTGGTTACACTTTTTTATGCTATTCGTACCAGTAACTGGATTATGGATGAGTGCTATTGGGGTTGTAGGTTTAGCTTTAAATTTACGTGCCTACGATTTTGTTTCCCAAGAAATTCGTGCAGCAGAGGATCCAGAATTTGAAACTTTTTATACAAAAAATATTTTAGCATTTACGATTTAGGGATTTAGGGAACAACAAGTCGATGGCTACTCGTCTCGAGTTGATACACACGATTTCAAAAGAAATCCACCTGAAGCTAGCGAGTTTCTCTGTGGAATTCTTGCGAAACTTGATCACTGGATGGGGAAATCTTAGTATTCCAGCAAGCAGCTTCCGAGAGCGACCGAAACACCCGTCGGGTTTTGTGTAGTTGTGCATCGGCACTCACCATTGTCATACAACATCCGGATGACCTGTCTCACGCAAGCTATGCAGTCGCGGCCGACGCTACAAGTAGCAAGACCATACGTGACCACGGGGTCGAAACTAGAAGTAGCAGTCCACCTTTGTGGGTTGTCATGAACTTCGAGGAATTGCATCAGTTCAGAGAGCACATTCTAAACGCTGGCCAAATGGTCATACGAGTGCTTCTTGTTTGAGAGTCTTGAAGGGGAAGCCTGTATTCACCTGAATTCAGCGATTTCATCACGCTGAAAAAAAGTGACAAAGCGTGACAAATTTCAGGTCGAAATTGCAACTTCGATTAGGTATTCAAAATTACAAACTTAAGTTGTCTTTTCGAATCTTACACTTCTTTCCACAACTTTAGCGATATAATCTGATAATGAATCTAACACAGTGGAGAAAGCAAGAAGATGCTAAAGAATAAAACAAGAGGTTCATTTGGCTCGCAGGTGTCCTTTCCAGACCATGGTAATCACGAGCAATTCAGGATCGGAT